AAAGATATTGATAAAGGCTTCGTATTTTGTGAAGTGCATGGTGACCACATGGAAATATTTCTTCACTGTGCTGAAGGGGAAACTGCCTCTGGCAAGAACATTCACAATGTCTCTTTTATTCAAAGCTAGCTCAAGAGGGCTCACAATGGGATGAGTGGGCTGAGGATGACAACCTCTTTGCAAGAACAAGGAGGAATCTGGTGACACACTAATCCCTGCCTTGGTTTTTCACTGCAGAACCCCTCATGTGTCTGTTTTGGAAGCCAGCCCTCACCCCGCTTCGCTGTCACAGCAACACAGGAACCATCATGTGGGAGTGCTGAAAACAGATTTCCTGGAATTACTGAAACCAAGAGACCCAGCAGCAGACAGGGAACCAAGAACCACGCTTCTACCACCTTGTGGGCTCACCACACTCAAGTCCCAAAGACACAGTTTGAGGCTCTTCTTTCTCCGCCTTAGAACAAAAACACACACATAACCCTCAACCAACATGAAAAATTGACTAAGTTGACTTCTACATTGTAATATTTTAGACTGGGTTCATTCTGATCAGTGGTTACTGTCTGATTTGTGGGCAAGGATGAGTTGCTGATTATCTCTCTTTTTCTAATTTAATTGGGCAAAGATATCAAGAGAATAATAGAGAAGTTATTCTGGATTTATCATAAACAGAAACAAACATTTCTTTACGCAAATCTTCTCAATGAATCAGCCTCAGCACCACATGAAGCTCCAGATTATGCTGCAGACACAAAACCAAAAGGAAACAGCCATCATGAAACCAAGACCATACTAGACAAGAAAAATATTCTTGACTTTTCTTTTCCTTTGAGGAGATCACTGCTTTCTCAGCAGGGCCTTAGGCTGACTGGAAGACCTGTAAACTTACACAGCACCTCTACAGGAAACAAAAGCTGCTATTGGGATTTGGGCTAGCTTTGCACAGAGGTGCTGCTGCCTCTTTTCACTTTACAAAAAAAAATTAAAAATAAAAAAAATGGAAGAGAACAAAGAAAGGCCATTCAGATCACTGAGACATCTAACTACGCTTTGCTTTTTTTAAACTTGTAATAGATTTGCAGCTTTTTGACAAGTCTACAAAGATACAGAGTTTTAAATTTTACATTATAAACTTTCACAGTCAATACCTTGACAGCTAGTGAAACAGGTAATAGGTTGCTGAGATTTTTCAATGCAGAAAATTCAATCTGTGGGTGGTGTTTTAAAAGTAGCAGTTTCCCTCCTGAGAAGGTTACTATTGCAACTGTGGTTATAGGGAGGAGAAGGCAACAGTTCACCACAGCAGGGCATGCACTAAAAGCCCACTGCTGCACAGCAAGTGCTATTGTCACGCTCTATGCCGGAGGCAGAGTAAAACTCAGCCACCACAGGAATTCAACCTATTCTATTAGTATACACCCTCATACAGTTTACAGCTATTAGTGACACTACCACACTGCCTATCTTAAAATTATGGGGAGTTTTTGTGCAGGAGAAGGAAAGAATGTTTAAGATAAGCCTTTTATTAAAAAGGAAACAATTAAATGGAAAGTGTATAATTTCCTTCAGCCTAGACAAGGTAGAATTGAAACATCTGAAAATCAGAACATCACTTAATTTCACTGCCTCAGGGTATTCTCTTAATTAGGAGATTATTTTTCTACAAAACTTTGTTGGGTTTATGCATTACATTTCTTACATATTATATCTTTAATAGAAGTATTGGCTCAGATGCATAAAGGAGACAGGACTAACTTCCCTGCAGTTAAATCAAGAAACCACAGTTTCTACTTCATGTGGACTTTGTTTCAGGGCTAGAACATTTCATCATATGGTATTAATACAGAGCTAAGAAACCCAACTAAAAAGGCCTTAATCATATTATATAATATTTTAGACAAACTTCAGTTCAGCACCATTCAGTCTGGTGATTGTTTAATTGTAAGTGGCAAGCAAAAATTTATCGTATCTGACATTCTGAGGACTGGAACGTTATCAGTATTGCAGGTCAAAACCAGGAATATTTAGTCAGTACCATATGAACACAATATGTTTAAGAATCGAAATATGTCACACCTCAGGATGGATCCAGCAATGTGGTGTTGCTGCTGGAATCACACCATCCATGCACAGCATGTTCAGTGATAAAAAAAAATCACTTCAGTGTAAAAAGACTACAGCAACCTAACCAGCAGCAGAACTCTGAAGATCCACTTTTCCCCCTTGTCAACCAGACACCACATACTGGTGGCTGACAGACAGTGCCGTCCGTGAGCAGGACGATTGTACCACAACAGTCTTTGGCAACCTCCAGGTCTACTGAATTTCTTCCTCATGACTACAGCTCCTCAGGGGCTCTAGAGGCTTCATCACCAGAAGAAAGCAACAAGACTGTTCAATGCAGGACTGCTACTCCCTGGCATTAGACTTGCCCTTCAGATCTTTTATCTTATTCTAACTTCTCTTCTTTGCAGATCAAAAGTGCTGCAATATCAAATAAAGCTCTAAGAGTATAAAAATCCTGACTGGAGACATAATGAGGGATTTTTATATTATCTGTTTTAGACTGCCAGATGCATACAAATCCAACACCTCCAGGGATACTCAGATTTCCAAGGAAGTTAAATGTCCATACTAGCTTAAAATTGATACAGAAAAACACACCATGTACCTATGTGGTGATTTATGCACAAAAATCATGGAAAAAGAAAAGTTCGTAATCTTTCCAAGAAGTATTTGGTAAGCAAAGGGGAAAGGAAGACTGATTAACAGAGCAGCGTTCTCTTTAGCTGACTTAAATTCAGCTGTATTCGTTTATTTAACAGATGTCAAAGACAGCAAACCATTATTTGTCAGTTTAGAGCAATTTCACAAAGTAATATTTAACCCTCAGTGGTATTATCTCCCTTTGCTTTCTGACCACTACAAAGTCACTAAAAATTTAGTTAATCAGTCTGTTATCAGTACTGACACCACTATGAGGGTGAAAGCAAAGCAGAAAAAACACATAGTTTTCTAGGAAAATCATCTCTTAACTAAGAAAATACACCAAGGCAATGAAATTAAGTGATATTCTAGTTTTCAGATGGTCCAATTCCAGCTTTCCTAAAATCTTCATTAAGTCAGTTCACAAGCATATTGATAACAAACAAGCCTGCCTACAATATTAGGACTCCTGCATTTGATACGCTCCCCTTTCCTATTAATTACACCTAGAAAAGAATAGTATTGAAATTTTAGTTGCTATGTCTCATATCTTGCAACCATATGTTTTTTGCCTGCTGTCCACTGTATTTAAAAGAGAAAGCAAAGTAGATGCTGTATGACTTTATATAACAAGAAACACTCCTCACTCAAACTGTGCTGCAATAAATTATCTTATTCTAAACCACCTTGAAAGAATGATCTTGCTGAAGGATGTCCTTTGAGAAAATACAGTGAAAAGAATAGTATGGAAAGGACACAATACTAAAGCAGCCTGGAAACTGGTTTAAAAAGCAATCTGTTTTTCCTCCATGCTTAACAGAGAGCACTATCATCATCAAGCCACTTCTTATAATCAATTGGATTCCATTTCTCCTTGGAGTGCTTTCATTCCTGATGCCTCCTCAAGATCTTTTCAATGATGACTGCATTTGCAACTCAATTTCATTTGTGTTAACATACACATTAAATGTTAGTTGAAGGTAAAAGTACCTTACTTAACAGCTCCTATATGTGATTATAATGGATATATCACCTTAATTACAGCCAATCCCCACCCACCTAAACAAAACAAAAAGCTCAACCACAAGCAGAAGCCAGAGCTGTAACACTGCATTAGTTTACCATAGGGTTGGAAACAAAGGATAGTAGTGGGCAAGCTTTCAAGATACAAATTTTTCTACTGAGAGTCCTCCTGTTTTCAATCTGTTACAGCTAAATGTTCGTGCTCATTAAAAGCATGTTTTGCACAAACAGGGCTTAAAGAGCAATGAAATGTTCACTTTCAAGTAAAGTTAATATGGTTGCTCACAAGTCAACATGATACAAGCAAGTGAAAAGGCAGTACAGCGATGCAAAAGCAACACCACTTATCTGGCAAGAATAACATAAATCAAACCCACATTGCTTAATTATATTTTTTTTTCTAAATACTGCATATAATCTTTCACATTTAGCCAACTTAAATTGGCTTAGATCACTAACTTGTTTTTTGTGGGCTTTTTAAAAAGTTTCTTTTTAAAGGCTGTTAGCTGATTTAAACATTACGGTAAATGACCAAAACTTCCACAATTTTGGTAAATATTTAGGAAAGTTACAGGATGGATGCCTTCAATTAGACTTTCTTGCTGAATGTAGGAAAGGGTCACTAACAACATTAGCCTGCATTTATAAGCTACACTGTGTATGTGACTTCAGACAACCTACTTTCAGAAGAGGGAAGAGAAAAAAAAAAAAAAGCTATGTGAGTGAAGAAAGAGCAAATTGAAATCTTCAGAATATGTCTTCAATGATCTGCATGAACATTTGACTGAAGGGATGTTTTTTCCTCAGTACACAGCATACATGAATACTGATGCTCTCAACCCCTTATCCCTCCTCTACCTTTGTGCACCGGGTTGGGGAAAGGGATAAAAGAAAATAATGCGCAGTTTTCTTCTCCTGAGGATAGAAATCTCTTGGGATACACCACTGGAAACCAGCATTGATGCAATTATCACATGGAAGCAAAGCATACAGGATTTTGAGGTATAATTTCATTATTTCCCATTTTTTAGACTGGTTACACTTTTTCTTTAAGATATTGATGACAAGTAAGTACAAACCCAATCAGCATTTTAAGCCAGTTAACTTGTAATGGACAGAACCCCATATTTAGCTGTATCAGAACTATTCTGAGTTCCTTCTGCAATAGCACACAGATGCCTGCCAGTTTGGGACTCCAGATCAGGCAACACAAACCACAGAAAGGATGAACATCAAGGAAATGAACCATCAAGGCAGTCCTTTTCTCTAAAGGACCTGTGGTTAGAAAGATATAGAGGGTCTGCAGGTCTGTCCATTCAGCACCTGTCTTGCTCTGTAACTTTATCAATGCTATGTTAATATAGCTATACTGTTTGGACAGGAGGATAAAACCTCCATTAAGAATGTTAATATTCATGGGTATTTTAACGAAAGACATCTACCCTTTTAGTAGCCTCATGATCCTATTAAGTGATTCAGGAATGCTGGTTATTACTTTTTTCAAGCCCTAGCTTGTTACTAAAAAAAAAGAGCGAGTGAGTGAGTGTGTGTGTGTGTGTGGGGGGGGGGGGGGGGGGGGGTGAAAAGAGGAGGGAAAACTGTTATGAATGCTGATGCATGATGACTTTCATGAGTTTCCAGATGAGATTCCAACTCAGTCTAAAGACACTTCATTTTTTCCAGATAGAAAGATCTATTTCTTCTCTCTTCCTATGTCCAAGCTATTTTTTGCTGCTTCTTAGCAGTATCATTTACATTAAAAGGGCAGCAAAGAGTCAACCTCTGCTGTGGTTTTAGTCAAATTGCTGCTTTCCTGGTGTTGATTCTACAAAGTCTAATTTCTGTACCTTAGACACATATTACTAAGAAATTACATGGGGCTCTATCACTGCAATATCTATAGTATATCCACCAGAGCTAGAAAAGAGCTGAACAATTGGAAGGATGGTCAGATGAACAGTCATTACAACTAACTTCATTAACTTTCAACCTGCATTTCTGATTATGAGACAGAGTCTGAAAAAGTATGTGATGGGCTGCACCTTTGCCAAATTAGGACTATTGATACATTTTTATCTGTCTAACATGTCTACTCTGTAGATTCATGTCCCTGTTAAGAGTCATGATAGCTGTTCTAGTGATTTTAAATATCAACTTTTCAATATTCCACAGATCCTAATCATCTTGCCAGAGAATATATCTTCAGCAGGTTAGAAAGAGCACAGAATAAACACATTTGCCTGTGTGAGCAGACAGATGCACATCCCAGTTCCAGTCACTAAATCAGAGGAACGTTGTAGACTCTTGAGCCATAAGAGGTCTGAAAAGGGCTTTTTCTCAAAATAAAAAACCCCTGTCTAATAAGAAAACTATCCCTAAGGAAATTCTAGGAGTGTATGAAGTCGAGTTAGATACAAGTTGTTGTCAAGTGTGTTAAATTATATCTTGACAGCAAAAGCAACACCTACAATGGAGCATGAAATATCAACCTCCTCAACTAACCACTGAAAACTAAATATCTAGATATTAACTGGCCAGTTATTTTATATTTGTCAAGATATTAACAAAAATGGAAAGGTGTACTGCTCACTGGATAAAAATCTGGCTGGATGGCTGGGCCCAAAGACTGGTAGGGAATGGAGTTAAATCCAGTTGATGGCCAGTCATAAGTGGTGTTTCCCAGGGCTTAGTAGTGGGGGCATTTATGTTTTGTCTCTTTTTCAGTGATATGGATGAGGGTCTCGAGTGCACAATCAGGAATTCTGCAGACAATACCAACTTGGGCAGGAGTGTTGATCTGCTTGAGGATAAGAAGGCTTTACAGAAACATCTGGACAGGCTGGGCCAATTGTATGAGGTTCAACAAGGCTGAGTGCTGGGTCCTGCACTTGGGTCACAACAACCCCATGGAACACTACAGGCTTGGGGAAGAGTGGCTGGAAAGCTGCCCAGTAAAAAAAGGACCAAGGATGTTGGTCAACAGCCACTGAATATGAGCCATAGGTGTGCCCAGGTGGCTAAGGCCAACAGCATCCTGGCTTGTATCAGAAATAGTGTGGCCAGCAGCACTAGGGAAGTGATTGTCCCCCTGTACTCAACACTGGTGAGGCCCCACCTCCAATACTGTGTTCAGTTTTGGGCCCCTCACTGCAGGAAAAACACTGAGGTGGTAGAGCATGTCTAGAGAAAAGCAACAGAGCTGGTGAAGGGTCCAGAGAACAAGTCTTATGAGGAGTGGCTGAAGGAACTGGAGGTTGTTTAGCCTGGAGAAAAGGAGGCTGACAGCAGACCTTGTCATTCTCTACAACTCCCTGAGAGGAGGCTGTAGCGGGGTGGGTGTTGGTCTCTTCTCCCAAGTAACAAACAATAGGCCAAGAGGGAATGGCCTCAAGTTGCACCAGTGGAGGTTTAGACTGGATATTAGGAAAAATTTCTTCACCAAAAAGAACAAGCTGACCAGGGAAGTGGCTGTCACCAACCCTGGAGGTATTTAAAAGATGCGCAGATATGGCACTTAGGGACACGGTTTAGTGGTGCACTTGGCAGTGTTAGGTTAATGGATGGACTCAGTGATCTTAAAGGTCTTTTCCAACCTAAACAATTCCATGACTCTATGATGCAAAATACTGAAAGTGAACCAACCCCACTAATGAATGAACTTTTTCAAAAATAGGACTGTATTGTCATCAAAAACATTTGCCAATTATTCTCCTATTACAACGCAGGGTACAGTGTCCTTTAACTGACAAGAAGTAATGCAGAGAATTGACGAATCAATTGTTTTCCATTTGCATGTCTGAAACGGGGTTCAGCCATTCAAAGTCAGGGTCATCCAGAGCTAGAGGGTAAGTACGGTCCAACTCATAGATCCTGTGTGACAGAACTCAGCCACTCCTTTGACTAAAACCAAGTATCAAAGCTGGGACTGAACCACTAGAATATACCGTCAGGCAGTTTGGGTGTTTTTTTTGTGGTGGTTGGTTTTTTGTGGTTTTGTTTTTTTTTTTTTTTTTTTTTTTTTTTTTTGTTTTTGGTGTTTTTTTTTTTGTTTTTTTTTTTTTTAATAGTACCAGCAAGTATTAATTTACAGACCAGGTATTCCAGAGCAATTTATATGGGCTGAATTTGAGCCAGTGACCATATAAACTGTTATCTTTTGCTGGGTTCTGCAATTTACTAGTGTGACTACTGAAATAATTAAACCTATTCACCTCATTGAACCATTACATTGATACTCCCAAAGGCCATACTCTCCTTTATGCTTTTAGACACATCTTAATCTATATTCAGCCTCAAAATACACAGTAATTACAAAATAATTAGCAGTATTTCACTGTGGTTTGGATTTAGGTAAATTAGCCTTTATGCTAATAGATATATTTTTTAAAAAATGGAATTGGTATTTGCCACACCAGATCAGGCCACTACTGTATCTTAGATGGTATCTGACTTTGACATTGGCAAGAAAGTGACAAATTCAGGTTAATTAAAAAAAAGAAAGCTGCCTAACATACATATATGAAAGTGAAAGAATAAAGGATAGTGAAAAGTATATTGTCTTATGTAAAATCATGTAAGAAATTATACAGTTTCCCAAGAGTTAATTCACTGTTCAAGGTTATAACTCTACAAACAGACCAAAGAACAATTAAGAACAATGCCAAAGTATTCTCACAAGCACTACAAGTGAGAGCAAATTTAGAAATACAACAGATAATGGTATCATGACAGATGGGGCTCCATCTGTCAAGCACTTATATTTGATAAAGGAATTTTAAAAGAACTGATGGGGAAAAATATTTTTCCAGTGGGTGCAAGAAGACACCTTCTTCAAATGTGGGTGTAGAAGGGACTTACCAGGGTACAGTTGCACTTTGAGTTTTGTAGGGAAAAACTCTGTAGGCCTCCGGTTCCCTCCACTTCCCCACATACATGAGCTGGTTAACAGACCCTAGCTTAAAAAAAACTTAACTAATAAGTGAATTATTTATTTTTAACCCAGATCAAGTCACTGACCTGGTGTAGTGGGTGGTGGTGGTGCCAGTACAGCCAAAAGGTGGTAGAAAACACAGATGAGTGATTGGGGTCAAGAACACTGGAGTTGTACCCTGATTTTCACATATGTAGGAATATCAGTATATTAATTTTTCTTACTCAGTTTTACATTTTGGGAGATGAGAAGAGTTGCTCACGATATATATCTTTTAAGATGTTTCATGGTTATCAAGAAACTCCCCATGGAGGGAGTTATTTGCATAATCAAGAAATAATTCCCACATCCATTTCATTAGGTTTTAATTAACACCCCAACCCTCCTGCCCCCCCCCCCAAAAAAAAAAGAAAAAAGAAAAAAAAATCTTTCCAAGGCAAAAAACTGCTCAGTTCAGACTGATACAGGTTAAAAATCTGCCTTTCTTGTAGACAGACACGCGGACATGGGATGCCACTGTATGGTCTGTTGAGGTCCAACAAAAAACAAAATTCTGAACCAAAGATTACGAAACAAAACAGAAAAAACCCAACCCATTCCCTCCCCTCCACACCCCCCACCCCCCCCCCCCCCCCCCAAAAAAAAAAATCTAGGAAACTGATTGAGAGAACTATCCAGGAAAAGATCAACTTGCAGGCAAGCCATAGTGGACTGTAGGTACAACAGTGGACCAGTAAGCAAGGTACAAGACAAGGCCACACAGCAGAAAAAGGACTACTTGCTGGTATCTACTTTTATTGCAATTTCACTTGGGATCAGTTTTCAACTAACAACCAATTTTGTCAAACCAAATGTAGAAACAGAACTCTCTTTGGACAAAAAAAACAGTTAAAATATTAAATATTATTGAAAATAGTTAAACAGTTATTTGCAGTAAACTTGGACAGACTTAGCTGTGTAGGGGACTTGGTTAAGAATGATATCCCATAACCCAAAGCATTCTTGCAAAATATCAGAAGTACAATTTCCACCAAGAATCCATGCAGAAAAGTTGAGCTAAAATAAAATATTATTAAATTTTAAATGTGGATGTGAAATAAAGGCAAAGGAGCATTCAGAGTAGACTGAAATTCCCAGGAAGAAGTACAGCATTTCAGAGTGAAAGACTGGTTATTAGCTATTTCTGAAATCATGGTTTTCCATAGACAGGAACTAGAGACTTCTGTTGCTCTCCTGTGAAACTCAGCAATACAGTGTTCCCAAGCCAATACTCATCCCAGAGTCCCATTTTTGGCACTATGCATGGCAAAGAACAAATCACCATCAGAAGCTTCTTGAAACAAATCAGACCACTTCCCCTCAAAAGCAATTTGATTTGTATACTAAATGAGCTGAACTTTATTAAAACTTTATATATTTTGCATCAACAATATCTAATGTTTCTAGAATTCTGAATTATCTTGGTTGCTCATAACAAACTATAGCTAAACACTACATCAATTATCTCTCTAAATTTAGAGTAGATCTCTCTTCTCATCCAAGTGGTGAGAATACTTGAATAGTCTATTTAAAACTTCAATCTTTGTAATTTTATCACCCAAATCTTTTACACTACAAATGAGCACACAAAAAAAAAAAAACCCTCAGACTGACGTTCTGCAAGCAGGTTTGCTGAAGAACACAGCTGCCATTATATGAATTTAATTCCATCAACTCATTAAGACAACATCCACAGTAGTCACACCTTTGTGTGAACATAGACTAGGCATTTAACAGCCATTTAACTTTTCCCAAAATTAGAAGATGAATTTACAAGTTTGGTTTGTTTTTCATAAAAAGACACCACTGGGTAGGAAGAGGAATAGGAGTGATTAACAACCACCAAACCCACTACAAACAAGAAAGTGAATTCTTCCATATTCGATAGTCACTCAAATCAGCACTGAAATGCAGTTGCAATATCCTTCCTTTCAGTTCCTTATCCACACGTTAATGACCTCCCACGTGCACTCAGAATAAAACTGTAATTTTCAGAGTATTAATTCTTTTGCAGTAAGATGGGACAAAAATTACTTATGCTTTAAATTAAAAAAGTAATCTATACAGAAGCTATCAAGAAATACTAACATGCAACAGCAAATAAACTGCAGTACAAGTACAAAAGAAAATGTAAATATCAAGAAATTAGAGAGTCACTTTTTCAACTTGTGTTGCTTTTAGACTTTTTCTTTAAATACTGAATCACCTCAGACCATTTGTAGAAAAGGATTTTTTTTTCAGTATTCCACTGAAAAACAAAAATGAAAAACAAAGGAAAAATATTTTAGCTGGATCTTCATTATGTTATTACCTATTTCCTGTGTTTCTATTATTTTCACTTGTTCTTAGTAGGAATGTTTTAAATTAGAATAAAGGACATAAAGGAATCTTGTGGGTAGTCAAATCCAGGCTTCTCACCACAAGAAGCATATATAATAAAAAAAGTTCAAGCTTTACAAGTTCAATCTTAAAACGATAATTACATATCTTCTACCCCTACGCAGCTGGCTGCTATGCCAGAATCCCATTCCTCAATGGCTACTTCTTTTGCCTGCACACTTTTCTCATGGCCAAACTATCAAGTATTATTCTTCCCTTAAACAGGTCCTTTCTAAATCTGCAGAGAGCAATCACATTTCATTCTTCATTTTGCTAAGGCCCTTTTTTTTTTTGTTATCCAGTAATTGAGATACAACCTCTTCTGCTTTCCCAACTTAAAATGTATTTTCAAATGTTTGACCTGACCTTTTCCAAATAAGAAACAGAATGGAAGCCAGAATTTCAGAGGTGCTGCCAATGTCTTTACAACAGCATTAATATCTCTCTTTCTGTTGAGAACAACTCGCCCAACACATTCAGCAATCACATCTGCTTTTCCCATAGCAGAATTACTTTGGTGGCTCATAAACACTCTGATTGACCAATACCCTTGTATCTCTTCCTTCTTCTGTAACTAACTGATGAGACTCCAACTTAGAAATTCTTGTCATTGGTCCCAAAATATACAAATTCATACTGTAATATAGTTGCCTCAAGTTGTAAAGAATGTTATAAACATTATGTTATAAATATTAAAGTTTTATAAATGTTTTTAGAAGTGTGAATAAAAAATCATTAGTAAAAATATTCAGTATCTATTTACAGGCTAGTGTGTTTGGTCACACAAGAATACTTTTGCAATGTCAAATGGAAAGCAAAATACTTACAAAACTTTACTAACAGCTTTGTTACTGCAGGTACAGTAAGGTTTGGGCTACATAAGCTTAAGAGGAACAGCGCTATTATCCCATTCAGTATTAACAGAAGTGAAATGTTA